TATGATTATTAATTTTAGTAGTAATATATTAAGATAAAAAATTTGAAACTGATCGTGTAAATGTCATAATATGTAGATTTAGCCACTTTTAATAGTATTTAGGCAGTGGTTGTTTATTGTTTTTAGTAAAATAATGTACGTAGTTTATAACCCGTAACTGCGCAATTAGTGTAGCTAGCCGTATTTCATCGTACTTTGCGAGGTTTTTGTTTTAGTTTTACGTCAAAGATAAACAAAATTTTAATCAGAAATACAAAACATGAGTTGTACACCATAGATTACAAAATAAAAAAATATGGAAAATCCGAAAGTGAACAACCCGACTTGTACACAGATAATTTATGAATACCTATATATAAAAGTACTCTGTGTTTATAAACCACAGACTAAAGGACATCCACAATACAATTTTATATCGGACTTTTTTTTATAATAATACGAGTAGAAGCATGAGGCTTGTTCATTAGTATTACCTCTTTCTAATCATGTGCTTTCCATAACATATTAGTGCGATGTAAAATAATAAACACGAATTAATGTGAGTGAAACAAGTGATTAAAAAAACTCAATAATGGAGCCTAACCTCTCCGCTTCGCGTTCGAAGTGTGCAATTAATTTTGATGGTTTTAACAAACTATGGCGGAAAGTCAATGCCTTTCCGTCTGGTTATTCGAAATAGATCATCACAAGACTTATTTCAAGGCGAGTGTCTGCGGAATTATTACCCAAAACCGCTGTTCATAGGCGCTTGTTATAGATATTTTAACGATCGAGGCAATTGAAGTTTGGGTGGTCTACTCGTAAAGCTGCGTTAACAACGGGTCAAGTTTGGATCAACAGCGCTCGCTGGTTATGTCTTTTTATGGATATGTGAACTTACTAAAAGTGTTTGATAGCGTAATAGGTAATAATTAAGATAATAAGTAAATAAGTAGAAAAGTGTGAAATTTCTAACTTTTCCTTCCTCATTCACATTAAGGAATCTACGTGGAGACATTAATAGAAAAATCATCATCTTCGTTTCCCGGGCATCACAAAATTGGAATAAGAGAAACGTTAAGACGAAGACGGATGTAATCATTTTAATATTGGCAGACCTATTAGTTTCTTTCCTCATCCATTCATCCATCTATGCATTCATCCAGCCTATAAAAGTCTACTGCTGAACATTGGCCTCCCCCCTTTCCTCTTCTTATAGTTGCCACCCTCGGCAAATGGAAGATATTTCTGCTCATCTTCTGTTTCAGTTCCTTCTGTCGCCTCTTTAAACTCCCACGCGATGATAAAGGATAGTGGATATTCTTGCACAGCCACTACACTCTTCGTTAAGTTTCTTTCTTAATTTGGAATTATAAAAGTTTATAATTTTTTTAAATTTTAGGTTTACATCGCATCATCGTATAAGCTGTATGGAGCATGCGATCATATCTCCGCATCCTTTCATTGACGTGTTAGAGCCATGCTGCAGTTATATTAGTAGTATAGTTGTAGGCACGAATAGGTCGGCTCGACCGGGGTAGGTCCACGGTCTCACAGAATACCAGCGTGAAATAGTAGCTAAATGCTGCTGTATTTCGTATGATGAGTGTAGAAAACCGGAGTCCCTTTTTACTGGAAACGAGGCATTCCATCTCAGTCCTCACGAGTGACAACGAATCTGCATTTTGATTTGTAATCGAGGATAGATGTAGATGTCCATGGGCCGTAGCAACCACTTACCATCAGGTGGACTGTGTGCTCGTTTGTCACCCTATCCTATAAAAAAACGTACGAAGTTTTGGCAACTGAGTGTATACGAATATCATTCCAAAAATTCCATACACAATTATTAGAAGTAGGTAATTAATAACAGCATTATTGGGCAAGGGCATTCGCTCTTTATTAGTAAGTAAAGCAAACTCAACCAAGTATTGCCTTTTACGAATGTAAGCAATTTCAAAAAATGTAGAGGTTTTTAATTCGACTGTACTTTTTATGTATGTAACTCGATATTTTAATAACAGATTTTAATGATTGTTTAATGACAAAATAGCCAATACCTTAACATGTCTTATTTATACTTATTTGAGGAAAACATTCCACCCCAAGAGATGCAGGAAGTCGATGAAAGCAAGTGGCTCAGAACTGTGCTTTGAGAGCTTCGATCAACAATGATCGAAGTTTGAGACATTGTTATGTTGTTGAGCAATTGACTTGTAAAAGACTGAAATGACAATGATGATGACCCCTAATAATGTAAATAAGGAGAAGCAATTTTTAATGTTAAGATAAGACGACATTCTAGTTGTTATATTGCTAAATCCACTGAAATGGATTAAATAACTTATTAAAAAAAATAAAACTGACTTTAATAAAAAGGATTAAATATTCATAGATGACTTAATGCACCGACTTCAGAAGTTATTAAATTATGTGGAAATTATTCATACATTGTTATTTTTAGACGATATTTGCTTTTTTGAATGTTTTTTATTTATTTAAATTATTATCACATTAGAGTGATCAACGAATTAAGAATCCAAGTAGGAAATAAATAAATCTTAGGATAACATTATGCTTAAGAAGAAATGCTGCTAAGTGATACTTTTATTGGATATTTTCTTTTCTTTTGCAGTCCACTTTTGGTCTTAGCCTCGCCCATAGTATGGAAAAGTGGTCTTAATGGCCACTCTTGGCCGCCAGATTGCTAACAGCAGTACACGTCATCTCGTACTTTTGGTAACGCTCGCTGTCAACGACAGAGAGTGGAGACTCGGAGAGAACAGAAAACTGTTGTTAGAGATTAGTGTGTTTCATAGTCATCGGTCTGGATACTTCACATCTAGTATACGAGAGTGCGACAGGCGCCCTAATAAAAAGTCCCACCCATAAAAGCCAACAGAAGGATTCCCTCGGCGAATGGCTACGGTAAAAAATCTAAATTTGTCAATGTATAATGTCCCGGTTCTCGCAGTTGCTGCGTCAACAAACAGTGCCGTTTGAGATATTTCAGTCCGTCCGTCCGTCCGTCACTCTGTATACATTACGACCTCACAGAGACATCCGACGACAGCCTATCAATCTTTTAATAAATACCAGACAACGACGAAACAAAATTTAAATTACTATCTTAAGAATTCATTTCTCTAGCATTTTAAAGTGCAAAATCATTTGTGACAGACGCAAAATCATTTTTGTTAGAATTATTTGTGACTTTAGTACAAGACAACATTTTACGACCGAGTCGAATGTGTTTTTCACACTTTTTTTTTCTCTCGTCACATGAAACATGTGTTACATTCGGCACATTATATAGATTTAATAGTTGTTATGACATAATGCGAGAAGAGAAGTATCATTTTTGATATAAAAACAGAATGATGGCCGATTAACCGTCTTGGACGCTTGACAGAGGAACGGTAAACAAAACGTTTTACTTTGACAAAAAGTTAACTGGTGTAATAAAACGCAAACGAGTGTTTTGTCACAGCGCAGCTAAACTAATAAAAAAATCGTGAAACAAAGTCATAACTTCTGGAAACCTCGGTGGCTAATTTAGTTTGTCCGCCCACTGTGTGCCTTTTAATTGCTTTTAATTTTGAAATTTTAAAACTTTCTTAATATTTAACACCTACATTACGCGTGAGAAATATTTAGAGAAAACGGTAGGTACTTGAGAGAATCATGTATGTCATATGTCATTGATTTCTTATTTAACCTATGTAATCAGAGGCTATGTGCTGTAAATTACAAAGTATGCGAGCAACCTGGGTTAGATGCCGGCAGGCGACACCAATAAAATTTTAAATACAATTTTAAGCACTGTGCACGTCGGGAAAAAAATACATCATGTGGAAACCGTGTCTATCAAATATTTCAAACTTTTAGCTAGCACTTTTTAACACAACTTTTAGGTTAGCAATTAACTGTATGCCGAGAAACCCAAGATAATCAGTTACCTATAGAGACGTACCCCAGAAAGTAGGAGTCAGATCAAATGTGCTTCGTTTTGCGGAGAACAGACATGTCTGCGTTTTGACGGCACTAAAGTTGACCAGATTGGCGTCACCCCATTGGGAGACAAGAATAAAGGTCGCATTTATCCGCTCCACTTTGACCTCTCTGAGTGAACGTATTACTGCCTCTCCATTTTTTGCACTGGACATGAATCTGTCTCTCTCTCAAAAATGGTAGGACATCTGTGCCCCGTTGAAAGACATATAAAATGTGCTACTTTATTTTTGAAATTATGGAGTAAGAAATATACATCATCTATACTGAAGGTAATATAAGCTCAATTCAAAGAAATTCTTGGTCACACCAAAATCAGATTTTTCCGTCCGGTAACAGCCTGCGGTAAGTAAGTTGACATTGTTTCTTCCCTATACGTGATAAGACGTAAAGCTATTGGTCCAGCGCCTGATCTCTCTCCAGTCGTGTCGTACACCCGTCCCATCGAACAATAAAAATGAGTGAATAGAGTGCCACCTGTCCTTGTACACAGACTCGTGCAGCATATTCCTGTCCTTGGTAAATGGCTATTCTCCCCGTTGACAATCACCGTTATGATCAAAATTTGATCTGGATGGTATAACTACATCAAATCAACACTGAATAAATGTCTAGTAATATTTCAGTAGTGCTCGCTTTGTTACCCGCTTTGCTCGCGTAAGTATTTGTATGAAATGTCGTTACTGGTACGCAATGAACTTTGTGGTGAGTATAGGATGCTTACAAAACACCGCCTTCATAGAAATGCGCTTCATATTTTTGGTGTGTTTAGAAAATTATAAGTGGTAGAGCCAGGCTGCAGCTATAAAATGGTTGATGCTTCTGTGTTTCGTACGGTGAGCATTCCATCTTAGTCCGCAGGGGTGACAAGTGACAACGCATCTGCGTTTTGATTCTTAATTGAAGTTAAAATGTATATGTCTCTATGGGTCACAGCATCCACTTACCATCAGGTGGAGACTATGTGCTCGTATGTCACCCTAATTCTATAAAAAATATTCATTCATTGCTTACAGCCAATTAAAGTCCACAGCTGAACGTACATCGAAGTCCACAGCTGAAAGTAGATCGCAGTGCACAGCTGAACGTAGATCGAAGTGCACAGCTGAACGTAGATCGAAGTCCACAGCTGAACGTAGATCGAAGTGCACAGCTGAACGTAGATCGCAGTGCACAGCTGAACGTAGATCGAAGTGCACAGCTGAACGTAGATCGAAGTGCACAGCTGAACGTAGATTGAAGTGCACAGCTGAACGTAGATCGAAGTGCAAAGCTGAACGTAGATCGAAGTGCACAGCTGAACGTAGATCGAAGTGCACAGCTGAACGTAGATCGAAGTGCACAGCTGAACGTAGATCGAAGTGCACAGCTGAACGTAGATCGAAGTCCAAAGCTGAACGTAGATATAAGTGCACAGCTTAACGTAGATTTAAGTGCACAGCTGAACGTAGATCGCAGTGCACAGCTGAACGTAGATCGAAGTGCACAGCTGAACGTAGATCGAAGTGCACAGCTGAACGTAGATTGAAGTGCACAGCTGAACGTAGATCGAAGTGCACAGCAGAACGTAGATCGAAGTGCACAGCTGAACGTAGGCCTCTCCATAGATTTCCTCATAATTAGAACATTTCAATCAAGTTGGCAAGCGCAGTTTTTTCTTCTAAGTTATTATTGGCAAGAAACGGTTCCACCTCTCCTAGTTTCCCTAAACCACCTCTTACGACACTCACGGGATGATATGGGGTAGTGGACATTTTTACACCGCCACAACTCGGCCAGTTCAGAAAATAACGAAATAAATATATTTCATGTAATTGGATTTCATATCGTAATTAAATATTTATTTGTTCAAAGTCATGTCTCGTAAAAATTGATTTGCAATCGCAATATGTAACTTGTTACATAAAAATTTTCACAAATCAATTATAATATAATTTACGTCTGACAACACTAGTTTAGCATTTCTCTACTCTGGACTCCAATAAAACTATCCGATTTAGAGGATGACATAGTTTCTTCAGTACAAGAAGCTAATCGTAAAGCGTCACCGCGTGCGACAGCTCACATTTTACAGCTAGGTATCAGCGCCAATAGCGCACAACTTGCTATTTTTGTCCGGTTGTACATCTACGTAATAATTTATAGTGCTATAAAGTTTTACTTGTCACTCACGCGGGATTTATATCCCGTCCGTCCTAAATGCGGTTTCCGCTGACGAATTTCCTCGTGTCAACGCTTACTATAAACAATATATGAAGCGTGGAGCGTAGGCGACGGAGGCGACGCCGGACCATTTGCAAGCATCCATCTGTGACGAGAAGTCAGTTGGAACAAAGGAGATTGTCTTCTGATCTAACATAAACAAAGTCTAATTTCCTGAACGTGTCTTTGAATGCATGGTGCGCTTACGTGGACTTATAGAGATCGTACACAACATGGAACTGAAGACTTTATGAGATGTATTTTAAGCTGAAAATAATTTGTCGATGAAGTTTGGATGGAACCATGTCGATGTAGGAGATGTAAATCGTGCAGGCGGCGCCGGCAATGTCGTCGGGACGCCACCGCTCATACAAACAGCCGTCGAAGCGTATCGAGGAAGGATGCTTAACACTTGCACCTCTAATTATATCTCTGGAACGTGTAGTGGAAACAAATAATATGTCTCTCTATTATGAAGCACTGGAATTTCCCTGCATTCTTCGTTTGTGACGTTATTTATGTATTCGCAAACTGATTTATACAAAACTATAAACAAATCTGTCGTTACAGAAAATATTTCATGTCCTCGTGAATCTCGAAGAAATATAGTTACATAACTTTTAAAAAACGAAATGATTTGAAGGAATTTATAGAGACATAAATAATAAATATGTTTTAAACTCAAAAAAAAAAAAGAAATGAGTTAATCGCACAAGGCGTAAATGTTTCTATGAGCACTTTCGAAGTCGAAAATAAGCATGTTTACATAGAATGTAAACCTCTGCAGCAACGCAAGCAGATCACCAAAACATTCATCAGTAAAGCGCTCCTACGAATATTATATCAACGCAAAATTCCTATCAATATGAAAATACCATAGAGGATATAATATAGTCTTTGGAAAATACTATACACTTTGGTATTAAACTCATTTATTTTTGTCTTATTATAAATGTATTGTCCAGAAATATAAAACAAATACATACATACATACATTGAATAGCCATAAAATATAATTTAAAAACAACTGTGTTGTTTTTAAATACGAACAAGCATCTATTTTATTAAATACGTTTGACTGGTTCTATTACGTTCTTTTAATCTGTACTATTTCATTTCAGTCAAAAAAAAATCAATTGGAAAAAAAATTTTACATGTCTTTTAACAATATTAATAAATAATAAAATCCAACGAGGCATAAAACGCAAGCGTCTACAGATACAGACAAAATAAAAAAAACGATTAATTATTTGTTTGATAGTTTCAGGAGAGAAGCTTACTGCATCCCCTGTCCGTAAATAAGCGAACAACATGTCATTCGCAGAGATTTTTTCTGTTCACCGCCAATTTTTTTAATTTTTTTAAAAATAAATGTTGTCACTGTAATGTTTTCACATAGAGGGTAAGACGAAAAACATCAGTCGGTTGTCGAGCTTAGAAGCATATAAGTTAGCAAATTATTTGTGTTACTTACCTTAGACCATTAAACCCAATTTATTATATTGGGTGAATGATCTAATTCCCTTACACTCCAAATTTCCCCTGTATCGAGACGTGTTTTCCAATCATTAATTACAATTATTCCGTTTGTGAACATTCATCCATAAATAATTACATACATACCTACGGAACGAAATAATTACAGGCCATACAAATTATAATTTTTTATAATATTAAAGTGACATTCTAAACCGGGTTACTAAAGTAACCCGGTTCGTCACTTTGATACTTTAACTGTTTTTACATAGTCAACGAGCCACCATGGCGCTTTCACGGCTCTCACGTAGAAACGTAATCCAAGGTAGAAAAAATCCTAATTACCTTTGATAATCTTGAATTAAAAATATAACAGTTAACAGCTGTACCCACTCACAGTAACCTTGCATTTCTTTTAATTTCCAGTTTAAACAAAACGTTCCCTTTACGAAAAACAAAATTCTGATCTTAGCGTGCCACACAAGACGCTACCGTCGATTTCTCACAACAAAGCTGGGCTTTCTCAAAGCATGAAATCAAAGCGATTGTCTCTAATGCATTTTCAAGATTTTCTTAATTCTAAAACGCATCAGTATTTTGATTTTTAATCAAAGATTATAAGGTGTCTATGGGTCACAACCTTTGAGTATTCAATCAAAGGTCACAGCATTAATTTACCATCATGATAGTCGTTCTTTCATTAGAGGAGTAATTCATCACGTTGAAAACAATAATGTAAGTTTTTGTTGTTACTCCGTTTTGTAACCAGTACTATAATGTCACATTTAACATTGCAAAATTAATAGCCACGTTAAGATATAGTGACAGACACTCAGTAATAGAATCGCGTGTCATAAATTAAAAATAAAATATCATCCACTTAGACTGGAAAAAGACCAATTTGTCTTTTGTAAAGTAAACATCAAATAAACCACATCAAACGAGGCGTTCATATTGAACGAGGACAAGAGTGATTCCATTGACAAAATCCATTAATGCCGACGCGGTATCTCGGCCAATTAGTAAACAAATGAGTCGAATGACAGATCGAGATACTTGGCACGGTGACAACGAGCCCGGTGGCATGGGCGTTGTTAAGGAGAATGTAAAATAAACAGATTAAATAGAATCGTGAAAACTGCTCATGACAGATTAAAATTGTTGATGTAATGAATTTTTAAATGTGCTTTAATATTTCTATTTAGATTTTTGAGAAATAAGCAGTTAGTTTTTTATTTTATTCTTGAATTATGTATTCTCATTAGCTTCAAATGGAGAGGGCTATGCTCGGAGTTTCTCTGCGTGATAAATTTAGAAATGAGGATATCCGCAGTAAAACCAGAGTGACCGACATAGCCCAACGGATTAGTAAGCTGAAGTGGCAATGGGCCGGCCATATAGCTCGAAGAACCGACAACCGTTGGGGGAAAAGGTTCTCGAGTGGCAGCCTCGTACCGGTAGGCGAAGTGTAGGGCGACCCCCCACTAGCTGGAGTGCTGACCTGGTAAGACATGCAGAAAGTCGATGTATGCAGGTGGCTCAGGACCGTGCTTTGTGGCATACCTTGGGGAGGTCTATGTTCAGCAGTGGACTTGTGAAGGGCTGTAATGATGATGATGATGATGATGATTAGCTTCAATGTTAAGATGATTTTATTGGTCAACAAAACGCAATTATTATGTAGTTTTTATATTATAAGCTGAATATCCTTCTTTTGTGTCCCTTCTTAACCTTCTTCTTTATCAACCGCTGGAAGTCTATTTCTGTACATGGGCATCTTCCATTGTGTTCTGCTGAAAGGCAGATTGACGAACGTAGTTCCAAATGTCTCCACAACTTTGACCCTACTTTCCATCACCAGTCTGGGTATTTTTATGACTGCCTTAAAAAGAAGTTATTAGCGCCATCTATAAATTTAAAATCAATAAATCCTCCAGACATCACCTATAGTGGCCTCCTATGCCAACCGCGAAAGGAAATAGGGATGTTAGATTTTCTTACGCTGTCATGACCAGATATTTGTTATATCCCGGTTGAGTGCAATTGGGTGACCCGACCCATAGGTGTCGTAAGAGGCGACAGAATGAAACTAAAGATTATTAAGATTAGCATCTCACTGATCTATGAGCAGCAGTGAGGACTTTGGATAACCTGTAATTTATGAATTAATGAATGAAGGGATAATGATAATGAAATTACTAAAGCATACACTTTTACTAGTAAATTCAAGTTTTTTCTGATCGTTTTGATCCACTAGTCTTATAGTGAGACATTGCATATCTTCGCATTTTGTATCTGTTTGACACAGGTAATTGTTGGGATTAATTATTTCAGTCCCAAAATTTTACTTTTTTACAACGTAGAATATTTGTAAACTCCATCATCGACATAGTGAGTATAGGTCACTTCACCACAGTGCAAATCTAGGAAATGCACAGTAGTGGAGGTCGGTGATCTTCGAATCAAATCTCGTAAAATTTTATCAAATCGATATGACTTACAACTTTTCAAGAAAAGACTAGATGTTTATGTGAGCTGCATACTGGTATGTTAATTTTTTTGTGAAAAATAAACAGAAATAAACGGCCGAAAAAATTACTTATAACTAACCCAAACAAAATTAAACTTCCATATATAGATGAAGAGATTAAAACATAGATTATGTAAGGTATTCAAAAGTTATTGTATTAGCCCTCCATGCGGACTTGATAAATCTACACTATAAGCCACTAAAACCACTTTTTAATGCAAAAATAGCGATCGATTTTAAAAAAAATAAGTTCAACAATCATGTATCTTTCTGTCAATTTGTTTTTTATATCATTTAAGTACCTATAATATGTTCAATGTTATTGTTAGATACGATTTCATGCGAAAAACGTTTGGATTTTCGATTTTTAAGCGCTAGTAGAACATACCTACGCGCTTTGCACTTAAGGTATGCAAAAATAATAATTAATATTATTAACAAAAAGCATTTCAATTGATGAATTCTTAGTATAGGATTTTTTAAAACGTGTCTAACTAACTTTGCTTTTTTGGAATGATAGCCCCCTTAACGCGCACAATACAACAGTCCATCAGGCACGTGGTGACAGACTCATCGGAACATGTGTCGCAGTAAACTGGTGCCACCGCACCGCTCGCACTGGGTTATTTCGGTTTTAACGACAAAGTCAGGAATAGAAAACAATGACTGCGACCGTAACAGAATTTGATGGCGGACGGTCATCTGGTTAATTCGGAGTTGGTTTACTTTTACGTCAGTATCTATCTACCAGAAGTAAATGATTATTTCATGGCAAAAGTCAGTTGTCAACTTTGTGTTCTAAATTTAATTTAGAGATCTGCTTAACTTTCTTATAATTTTATCTACTTCATCTTGAGCTCTCTCCTAGTCTGCCGTGATATGGACTATTTGCCTTAATTTTCTTGCTACGAATTTTATATTATTGCTCGTATCTATAGGAAACTATAGTACGCGAGAGTAATATGATCATCCGGTTAATAGGGTCACTTCCCTATCACTCAAAAACTACAGCCTTGTTTGCTCTATTAAATATTATAGGGTCTGCTTTATCGACGTAATTTTGACAGCTAAAATTATAATTATAATAAATATTTTAGTCGATTTTTCGAAGTGTTCCTAATTGTTGCCAAAGCATGTTTGCTATCTTTTTTTCTAAATATATCAGTTATACCATGCGACTTTGTGGTTTTTCTCTGTCCTCCTGCTAGGGTAAAGTTAAAGGTGACCATACTACCTTCACGTACCTTATGATTTTTTTCTTTTGTTTCTCATAGGCGCCTCTTACGTAATTCATGAGGCAAAATGAGTTAATAGATTATCTTAGGCCACCACACATCGGTTAATTCTTATTCTCCTTCCTGACCGTCACGATGATCATCATCATCACCATCGACCATTTCGTTGGTCACCGAGCGATCGTAAGCGCAACTGCTGATCAGGGCAATAAAGTTAATATAATATATTGAAAGCAAGAGTATACAGTTTTAATATTTACGTTTTCTTTTTTATATAAACGTAATACAATGACTTTTAATACAGTCGTTTTATATTGTTCATCATTTATATTTCATAGTTGCGTATTACTCCTAAATTCACCGTGAAGTGACGGTGTAAGAACATCCATTACTTCCATATCGTTTCGTGGGTATTTTAAAAGTAGATAGAGGAAAACAAAACAGGGGATGGCCAGCGGTATTTCTAATAACAAATTTAAAAAAAAAACAACCGTAGTTTGACAGCTCCGTAGCGCAGTGGCTGAGGCCCTCAGCGCCCTCAGTATTCGTATGACCTACAAATAATGGGTCTGGATGTTTTCCCATGTAAAATGTATTTATGTAAACTGCCACAATGATACCCAAAGATACAGGAGAAATCCCTAACGAGGAGCTAACGTTTAAAAAAAAGCAGTTGCAAACCCTACCAAGCGTGGCAGCTATGGTACCTAGATATACCCTCCCCTCCATGAGGCAATTTATGTGGCAGGCCTATGTTCAGCAGTAGGTATTTTATTTGATGTAGTAGCAACCGTAACGGTATTACTTATAAAATGCTTTATTCACAGTTTAATTCTATATTTTTCATCAACCATGTTTATATGTTTAATTAGGTAATAGACGTGCCGTAAAATCATTTTGACTTCGCGATTACGTGGAAAATAATAGTACTAAATACTATCGACTCTAAACTATTTATTAACTACAAAAAATAAATGAAGGGTTTTGAGTTGAGACATTTATTATTATACATTGCAAAATTCATTTTACAAAATGTGTTATAATAAATAAAAATTCATTTTGCAAAGGTTTCAGTTATACGCGTAATTAAAATTAAAGTAACATTAGTGTGACTTCTGTTGTTGCAGATTAGGTGACAAATAACTTATATTGGGATTTTAAAATCCTAAATATTTATTACAATACAGAAACATCAAGTACTAAACTAAATTAAAGTATGTACAATAGGCGGTCTTATCACTCTGAAAGTGATTTCTTCCAGACAACCTTTGCGTAGGGGAATGATGCAAACAAAAGTTAAAATGGAGGGGGGCATACAAAATAATAATAAAAAAATAATAATACATACAAATAAATATATAATCATAAAACCCTAAAAATGCATTTGTGTTATACAAATGCATTTTTAAATACAGTTATGTCAATGAAACTGAATATTATGCTATGCGTAAAGGAACTATGCATTCCTTGGAGGAGGCGTGGGCTTTTGAATGGCTGATGATGATGATGAAACGAACTATGCGTCGTTAGCACTCGCGTTCGTTCGTAATATAGTACCTTATAGTGAACTTTGTGATCGGTGGCGTGCCCAAAATATTGTGTCGCGTGCCATCGATGGCACGCGTGCTATTGGTTCGCCATCCCT